GAGGTAAGCTTGAAAAAAATATTTTTTTCTGTTCTTTCACCATTTTATGATGACAAAGGGCCATAGCGCCTGATTTAATCCCAGCTCTTCGAACGCCTCAATAATTCAACGCAGAGTGCGCACTGAGATAAAAATCATGTTCTGATCATTCACATTTACATCTTTACAAACGTTGCATGACTTCAGTAAGATATGGTGTATTGACCATGCGAATAGGTCGAGGTTATCAATGTTTTGATGTTGCTCTCTGCAAAGCCGGTTGTATATCTTGTCAATCTTTCAGAAAAGGATTATACCCGAAAGAAGAACAAGCATCTTGCCAAGATTGCGGAGTGGATGAAAGAGCATGCTGCTGGAGACCCTATCCTTCCCATTTCCGTTTGCTTCGAGGAACGCCTGACGCGTTTTGAGACTGACGCCCAAGCGGAAGAGGAATGCAAAAAGTGCGGGATTGAGTCTGCACTACCCAAGATCGTTACCACGATGCGGAAATCGTTGCACCTTCGCAGTTTCTTCACTGTTGGTACCGATGAAGTCCGACAGTGGACCATCCGGGAAGGCACCAAAGCACCCCAGGCTGCTGGTGTAATTCACACCGACTTTGAAAAGACGTTCATCCAAGCTGTTGTCTATAATTATGATGTGTTGAAGGAGCTTGGTGACGAGTCCGAAGTAAAATCCAAGGGTAAGATTATGACAAAAGGCAAGGAGTATGTGGTTGAGGATGGTGACATCCTATTGATTAAGGCTGGTGCCGCTAAGGGTTAAGCCACAATCACCCAGTCAGACTTCTGGGGTGAGATATGCCGCTTCGTCTTATTTAAATCACGATAGACAATCTACCGACGAGTTCTGAAATGGATACATTCATGGTCGAAGAAATTGTGAAGGCAGATTATGGCATCACCTTGTTTTGCGAATGTAAATCGATCCATCGGCCATTTCGTGGTATGTGGCATTGCTCTATAGGCCCAACTCGACACTGTATGCCTAGTCAGTTATGTCGTTACGAATGGAATGATGAAACGTGGAGACAAAGACCTGTGGCGATACCCCGTCGGTGGATTCTCTTGAAAGCGGCTTCGATCAAGGGGTCTAATTTATTGTCTCAATGACCAGGATTCAAGTTCTAGAAGCAAACTAGAAACCCCTGCCAATACCAACGGGATAGATACTTCGTGTGTTCTACAGAAAAAGCATGCTGTATTGATGAGTAAAGGTGTCCCATGGCTGAATAGTATGGCTCATAAGAAGCTTGATATCAAGCCTGCCAGCGTCCAAAATTGGGAAGACGTAATGGTAGGGAAATGGGCTCGCCAACCCCAAAAGCTCAGAGAAGAGGATGCGAAGCGGTCACATCTCGGCTCTAGCAGCCTAGCAGCCAGCGGTGAGGGAAGTCATAATTACTGTGACGACACGAGAGCGGCAATCGAAAAGGCCTGCTCCTCCGGCGCTGATAGTAGCGATATCACAGATAATGAAAACATTTCAAAAGCAGGTGGAGAAAACAATTATAAACTGTCTGCATCATTGTTGTCTTCACTTGACGTTAACTTACTCATAGCTAACCCGACAGCTACGTACGAAGAGAAAGGTTGCTGAGCGGCAGGATAGGGAGTCCACAGCTGCCGAGGAGAATCTGGTTGTAATCACCGGGATGTTAGCTCTAATTCTTTCATGGCCAGCTCTCCTCCCTGACCCCACACACCCCCCATAAACGTCGAACTGCCTGTAACCAAACCCTCTTGTTTACCATTATTGGATATTGTTTCGACTCCTTCTCCCCTCTCTTCTTCCGAGCCCATATTGTCCTGTATCTAAAGAGAAACCGAGGCCCCGCGACCCAGCCGGGCGCATCGAACACACTAGACGATGAAGATCTCAGGAAAAGCTCTATGTCGGACGGGCAGGGCCACAAAGGCGAGGCGTGATAGCTACACCAGAGTGGTGAACTAGTCGACAGTCTTTTCTCGGCAATATCCATACAATATCGCGCTGACGCTGAACTATATGATCACAGCCGAGATGAGCGCGATGTTCGCACCTTCGAGTCTCTTGCCGCCTTGAGTCTGGATCGCTGGCGCGAGCTCCGTCTTGCGCCTACCGAAGCGGCGGGGAATGCCGCCGAGACACAGATCATCTCGTCACCTTAGGGTATAAATCTTCTTGCTGCAGAGGCTGCCAATGTACGAGATGATTTGAGAGTGCCGGGGGTTCGAATCTGGCAATATCTGGCATGGTAATCTATCTTTGGTCTGAGAACGAATATGAGACCTTTCTCGATGCGTAGCAGATCTTCTGTTCGCGGTGCCTTGGGAAAATATGGCCCATCGTTAATCTGATTTTCCTCTTACTTGTTCTTTAATACAGATCTCACATATGGGTATCAAACCGTCTGATGGTCCTCAACGAGTGACAGCGCATGTCTGCGGCCAGTCTATATTATACTTTCAGCCCGAGATCCAATCGTGATTATTATTCACCAAGTAGGTCGCTAGTAGAATACTTAGCGAGGCATCAAATCTAGCAGTGAAACATTGAGCATACCAGCGTAGATCACTGTCTACCGGTTTTCAATGCATTGCTTTTCTATATTTGGTTACTTCGCACGAGTCGCGATTATTGCTTTTGCTCCTTAATATTTCCCGGCATCGAGAATACCGTATAGCCAATAAGATTTCAGACCACGCTCAGAGCATTTTCATCCTCTTTTCGTTTCCTGTATCCACTCAGCAATTTGGACCACATCATTCCGAAAACTCCAGGATGTGCCGCTTCATTGACAATGACATCTTACTCGTATGAAAATCATTTTAGGTGAAAGAGGTCGCATAGTTTAGTAGTAGACTCTTATGGCCATTCCACTTTAACTGCCCAGTGGCTCATCAAGATCGGCACTATAATACCTATATAACCTCATTCCACATCTCAGCAATTTTCATCGTCAACTCAGTCCTGTGTCAACTATCTACCTACCTTGACACTCCGATCCCGGGGACTATGTTACCGCGTATCAAGCAAAATGGCTCAAACACCAATCATCCGCTATCTCCCCACGAACGAAGCCTACGACAAATGGGCGGACGTCTACGACAGCGATGGCAACTTCCTGCAAGCACTAGATGACATGGAGCTCAAAACCCTGTTCCCGCGATTCCTAAGCGCTGTGAAGTCGCCCAAGCCCTGGCGAATGGTGGATCTAGGCTGCGGCACCGGCCGCAACACGGCGCTTCTCCTCGGGATCCCCGAGGCCGAGATCATCGCGCTGGACGCGAGTAAGGGGATGCTAGAGGTGGCACGGACTCGACTCCGAGGTGCGGGACGGGGCCTTCGCCTCGAGATCTTTGACATGCTGGCCACGTCTGCGACACCGGCTTTCGTGCCGGCGCACACGGCGGACGGCGTCATCAGCACCCTGGTCGTCGAGCATGTGCCACTCCCTACGTTCTTCGCGCACGTGGCGCGGCTTCTTCGCCCTGGTGGCGTGCTGCTGCTCACGAATATGCACTCTCAGATGGGCGGGATCTCACAGGCCGGGTTTGTGGATGTTGCAACGGGTGAGAAGATCAGGCCGACGAGCCATGCGCATACTGTCGAGGACGTGGTTCTTGAGGCGCGGAGGCACGGACTTGAGGTGGAGACGGATGAGCAGTCTGTGGGAATTGTGGAGAGGGCTGTGGATGAGGATATGGTTGCGACGCTTGGGATTAGAAGTGGGAAATGGGTTAGTATCACGTGCTGGTTTGGTGGAATCTTTCGTAAGATGAGTGTAGGTAGTGTACATAGTATGAAGTAGGTACTAGAGAGAATGTTGATGGTGTGACGGCTCAAGTGGGATTCACTACCGTCGTCTCAGGTTGGAAGGTTTGCTTGAACGGGATGGAGATGGAGATCATTTACCTAACTACCTACGTCCGTACCTATACAAAGTATTAGGTGTACATAAGGATTACCTACCAATGTACGGACGTAATGTGCGCAAACTATGGAGATATTACTAGACTACAGTAGGTAGGTCGTATGTACGGACTACCTAGTATGGAATACCTACCCAGATAATTAAGTTGCCGTCGCTGTTGTTGGAGACGACCTGCGTACCGGCACGTTACCGGTACTGCTGAGTTGAGAAGGGCTCAGGTTACAGTTACAGGTGGTTACCTCAACCTCTTCAATCTCATCAGATTCTTGATCGTTCACTGTCATAGATACTCGTCCACTTACCTATTCACAGACTGGCGGCCTACCAAGAAAACAACCCATGCCTCATCACCACCGTGCCCATGCAATCGCTCATTACTTCTGTATTCTCTGCATAGGGCGATTGGAGGTGCCGGCGCTGTCTTTGCAGGAGTCGCGCTATAAATTCAATGGCTACGGACCTACGTAAGTACGTACTTACGGACGTAACTTACCTATTAATAAGTGTAACCCGTTGTCGCGATTCTCGGCTCTCATGAATGAGGCGTACCTAATCCGTAGTCGCTAATGGACGAAACGCATTTATGGGATGATCGGCGCGACGCTTCGACCGACTGGGTAGGTAAGATCCTTGCCGGTTCCCCGCTGATGGGTTCGTGCCCTAGATAAGCTCTCAAGACGGATCCGTACCAAATGTAGGTATAGATACCTACCCACGAAGTACGGATACAACATTATGTCGTAGTTCCTTGACATAGGTACCTACGTACTTGGTTCCGTCTCGCCAGGCGAATACTATTGAGATCTTCATGACGGACATCATGAAAGGTAGTATTCCGTAGCTCGCTATAATTTGTAAATGAGTCCCTCAAGGAGTGAATGCACACCAAGACGTAGCGTTAAAAAAAATCTTCACGAAGCAGGGATCCTTTGGTACCTAGCGCTATTTCGTAGAATCTACCGGTATCGACCAACCGACTCAAAATACCTACTTAGGTAGTCCGTACTGCATGCCCACCCGCACGGGATTCTAAGTGGAGGTTGTATGAGCGTTTAATGACTCAGTCAACCACAACTTGACTGGCTTCGTGGCCCAATGGCAAGGCGTCTGACTACGACAGACCATCATTCCGATGGTGGATTCTGAAGGATAATCAGGAGATTCTGGGTTCGACCCCCAGCGAGGTCATCTTGGGTTCGTTTTTTATTTTTTTTTTCCTCTATCGTCATAATCCTCGTCTGGGGTGTGCTTATGGGCCTATCTACCTACCTACCTATTCTACCTACTTAAGCTTGGTATAGGTACCAAGTTGTGACTAACGGGAAACGTTGCAATTTTCTGCGAAGAAGAGGAGATCGGCATCGTTTACGGAAAGTTAGGCGGCGCCACGTTTTTATTCAAATGCCTTTTCTGAATCCCATCATGACGATACGCTTCTCGTTGTGTAGATCAATAGCATATTTGTTTCATACACGTAGTAAAAGTCTCAGACGAGACTTTTTTTTTTTTTCAAAATGCATACATATAGATTTTTTCGTGCAATCAGGCACCGCCCTTACCCCAGCTAAAGCAACCTCCCGACGCACAGGTCAGATCAAACCAAGACACGACGACCGCTTCCTGATTCTGAATATTATGCGTCACGCCTCCAGCACTATAGGCTTCAAACCAGTCATTGGGACCGTAGACATATTTCGTCCAGTTGCCGACGGGCGTGTTGAGAGCCAAGCTAGTGGGCGTCTGGCTGTAGCCAAAGACAGCGTTCCATTGCTGGACCTCCTCCCCAAAGTCCGTATAATTCAGCGTCTCATCAGCGGTGCCGTGGAAAATCTGCATCTTGGGTCGCCACCCGCTATATCCGGGATAAGCAGCCTCCACCAGCGCCGCCCACTCCTCCGGCGTATGGGTGATCTTCCCCGTCGCGCATGCATTGCTCCACACATCGTATCCATCCCCGGCAAAACAGCCAAAGGGAACACCTGAAAACGCAGATCCGGCAGCGAAGACGTCTGGGTAAGCGCCGATCAGCGTGCTCGTCATCATGGCCCCCGACGAGATGCCCGTGACGAATACACGTTTCGGATCGCCGTTGTACTTTTCGAGCGTCCAGCGGACCATGCTGACGATACCGAGGCTGTCTCCACCGGCCTCGTGCGTCAAGGTATCGGTCGACGACACATCCCAACACATGTCGACCGTGTTCGGGCTGTTCGGGTAGATAACGATGAAGCCGTACTCCGATGCCAATGTCGCGAATTGTGATCCGGTGTAGCAAACTAGCGCATCTCCATGGCACCAGTGCGGATTCACTAGGATGGGCGGGTTCGCTGCCAGCTGGTCCGGCACGTAGATGTAGAAGCCGGCATTTGTTGGGTTTGGACCGAAATCTTCGGTTATTTGCTCCAGTGAAGCAGTTTTCACGCCGTGTAGCAGGCCGACCGCTGACAATGCCCATGATGTCCAACGCATGTCGAATAGGTACGTATTCCTTAATATGTGTGCGGACGTACAGTGACAATATTATCAAGGATAGACCATTTTCTAAATAACTACTTGGTCAAAAGCTGTCCCGAGGGAGATACATATATAACATCAAGAAAGGGAGCCACGGTAAACAACTCCGCCGCGCTGGCGTCCATCGCGCATCTGTTGAGGGAAGGCGGAGGCTGGTGGTCCGGTCGCCATCTTGGTATGGGCCTGCTCGGTTTGAATACCCGACTCCATGATTGGGCTTCTAATGTGTTTGGTACGTATGGCCCATTTGGCTAGAGACGTGAGATTTCGAAAACCACCCATCATCTTGACTGAGATGTCCAGACAGACTACCTAATGCCCTTATCACACAAATACCGACGCACCTACAGTGCAAATGTATTCCGTACTGCGAAGATCAGCTTGATGCCATCAAGATGCATCAAGACAAGCTCATCTTGCTCCTGACCAATGGAAACAAAGCATCGTTCCTTTTCAGGCAAGTATCCATCTCAACCGATCCAGGTACGAAAATCTACCTAACTTGCTCGACTCTTTTACACGGATCCGTATGTATGTGCGAACGCTGTCAAGCAAATCGGATCTCTCATGCTTTGTAAAGACTATAAGGCTATTGATCATCTCGAATAGATATCAAATTGTTCAATATGGCAATATTAAATAATGCTTATTGGGCAGTTGTTTAAACTTGACCTGTTCCTCCGGGTTAGTAAAGAGAACTTCGATTAGGCCACGCCCTTGGGCTTATAGAGTCTCAACAGGAACAACAAGGTCTTTCAATGTCACTTCTTTCTCAAGCGAACTTGACGGTTGATATCAGGCGTATTGAACATATGCTACTGAATGTAAGTACATGCAAGGCGTAATAATAGCGCCTAGAGACATCCGGTCAGTAGCGGTCACTCTGAGCTTCAAAGTAAGACAGGTAACATTCCCGGTGATAGTCGACGAAAGAGTACTTGAAGTCTACGAGTGACACGGGAACACAGAGACCTAAAGTCGCCATCGTCTTTACGCGAGAAAAGTAAAGCTTGCTGAATGGGTTTTATGACGTTTTATTCTCCGCAACTAACTGACTGTATCTCCCCCTTTACCTCACGTAAAATATCCGCTGTGGCCCCCGTGTATATGGCCAACAGTATCTACCATCCATCTCCATTAACTCCTCGATAGCCTCATCCTCTTTGGTATTGCCCAACTATTCTGGGCCGAAAGTACGGCCAGGGAAACCCAGATTTCCGCTTCACAACATTGGGCCTCCAAAGGGAGTGGCCAATGACTCCAAAGTCCATGCTGCACAGGGTGTCTTCGTCCTCGCCGCGTTATTATTGATATTAATTCAAAAGGAGTGACAGATAGCACTTACGCAAGCAAGCCCGCTTATCGATGAAGGTCGATGGTTGACTCTTATCGGCAGTGGCCGATGCCATTATCGGCGCGGTCGAGGCAACCGCCGCAGACCATTCGGCCAGAGCCATCTCTAGCCTCGTAAAGGTTCGACAATACCGTCAGATGACCATGCTTGGTACATTGACAGTGACAAATAACAATGATAAATTTGCCATACATTGAACCCGATGGGGCTTTGTCCCTGTCGTTAGCATCATTGTTGTCAGGCTGATTGTCTGTTGTACAACTAGGCATCTTGTCGAGTGTTGTCGTGATAGACGTAAGTCTTTTTGGTGACTGGTGGTGATCCGATTGGTGTTTTCACAAAGAGCGGGTGGGTGACAGTGACCGTTTGGCGTACTGCTGAGTTGAGATTGTGGAAGTGCGGCCGAAATTGTGGGAGAGACGAGAAGTTCTATTTAGAACTTGCAAGCTTGAGAACTTGTGTCAGAGTTGGGAAGCGATGGCTACAATAGGGATCGTAGCCTATTCTGGGTGGTTATCGTTGTGCAATGGGAAATGGCATTCTAACCATTGCACTATTCTCAGTGGCAACGCATTGGTAGCGAGCCAGTATTGAGCACGGGGTAGCTGGTCGGTGCAAACAATAGTTTCAGGACATTTCCCATTCCCAGTGGAAATGTATTGTCAACTCGCCGTTACTGAGCACGGAGAAGTCTGATGAAACAATACTCTCAGGCCTCAAACTCTCGCCAATGGGAACAACAATGTTCGAAGTGAAGGCTCTCACCAACTACTAGCAATAAGTATTACTTTCGGGTCATTTTCACTGAACGTTCAAACCGGTCTATGGATATTCTGAAGATCCAGCCCCCAGCCCCCGGCCGGCCATTGCCTATAGTCTCCTACTGACATCATGGTATCTGAACAAACATTCGATGTCGCGCCATAAATGAATCTGGACAGCCAATATCGAACAAATTTGACTAAGAACTTGAGTGCATTTTCGATGAACTCGGTGCTCTCGGTGTACTAATGGTCCAATGCCAAATAGCTATCGTATGGGCAATTTATACATTGACGTTCTGTTACAGTCCGCCAGCGATCAGCGGGCCCAGGTGAGTTGCCCGGGGCAACGGAGCACCAGTTGAACTCGCCCGACCTCCTCGCCGCCACCGTCATCGGACTGCAGGTATTACTATGAGCAAGGTTCCATAAGTTTCAATGCTCGTCGCCTCAGCGCTCATATTTCCTCCCGTGCCTACAGCTCTTGAGGGCCAACGGGGGTTGTTGCTACCTAGATAGGTCTCTATCACTACTCGTAAGATTCTAAGCTATTCCGTAGTGAAAAATAAGAAGAAAAAGATCATTCGAGGATATGGTAAGAATGTCCTAAATAATCACGACGTAGGGCCAAGCCTGATTAGACAATGTTTGATGCTAAGCTCCTCCACTAGTAAGTAGCTCTTCACATTCTGTCAGGCAATTTGATATTGTAATAAACAATTCAACCGAGTACAAGGTAATGTTCAGGGTGGAGCACGGGACGCTCATCCAGCCAGCAAGTCAAAATGCCATAATCGCCGGGTATAATCGAGTAGACTATGTGAGATACCTCTTCGGCCTCGCTTACGTTCTCTCACCTTCTGGTGACCGGAGCACGGCAGGGTCAGGGTCAACGAACCAAAGTGAGATCCGGCACGGTGGAGAAAATTTCTCACTTCTCAAGTTGTTGGTCCACAGTTGATGGACTTCAATATGATATGTGTTTTTTAATAAGCGGGTGATTATGAAAGCAGCCATACTCGTCAATCGCGATTCACCAGTTCTGTTAGATAACTTCTCTAACAAAAGTGAGTACGCATCGACCATAAGCTACCCGCACACCACCCTAACACAGCAGGTCTAAGACACGAAACCCGAGGTGAAGCGACGCGAAAAAGAACACCTTAACGTCTCGCAATTACCCACAGAAAAGAGGCATCAGTAGCATCAGTAGCCGGATCCTCAACGACATCAGCAACAACGACATCGAACCCAGCCCTCTTGATCCTCCCAAGCGTCCCCTCCGCGCCCCACCCGCTCCAAAACATCCACCCCTTATCATCGAGCCAGTCCGGCAGGATGAAGACGTCCATCTCTGCCTTCGAGAAGTTCGCGACGAGGTATCCGCCTGGTTTAAGCCATTGCGCGACGCGCCCAAACAGCGCCGTCTGCTCCTCCCGGGGCAGGTGGATGATGCTATAGAACGCGACGACGAGGTCGAAGGATGCGCTCGCGAAATCAAGACTGCTCATATCACCCTGGACAAGCTGTAAGCGGCGCGCGATTCCATCGTTATCAGT